AGTGTTTGTGATTGGTCTGTTCATATTTTCTATTTCTTCCTGATTCAGTCTTGGCAGTTTGTGCATTTCTAAGAATTTGTCCATTTCTTACATGTTGTCCTTTTTATTGGCATAGAGTTGCTTGTAGTAATCTCTCATAATCTTCTGTATTTCTGCAGTGTCAGTTGTCACTTTTTCATTTCTAATTCTATTGATTTGAGTTTTCTCCCTTTTTTACTTGATGAGTCTGGCTAATGGTTTGTCAGTTTTGTTTATCGTCTCAAAGAACCAGCTTTTAGTTTTATTGATCATTGCTACCATTTCCTTCATTTCTTTTTCATTTTTTTCTGATCTGATTTTTATGATTGCCTTACTTCTGCTAACTTTGGGGTTTTTTTGTTCTTCTTTCTCTAATTGCTTTAGGTGCAAGGTTAGGTTGTTTATTCGAGATGTTTCCTGTTTCTTAAGGTAGGATTGTATTGCTATAAACTTCCCTCTTAGAACTGCTTTTGCTGCTTACCATAGGTTTGGGTCGTCGTGTCTCCACTGTCATTTGTTTCTAGGTATTTTTTGATTTCCTCTTTAATATCTTCAGTGATACTTTGTTATTAAGTAGTGTACTGTTTAGCCTCCATGTGTTTGTAATTTTTAACAGATCTTTTCCTGTAATTAATATCTATTCTCATAGCATTGTGGTTGGAAAACATCCTTGATACAGTTTCAGTTTCTCTTAAATTTACCAAGGCTTGATTTGTGACCCAAGATATGAGCTACCCTGGAGAATGTTGCATGAGCACTTGAGAAAAATGTGTATTCTGTTGTTCTGGGATGGAATGTCCTATAAATATCAATTAAGTCCATCTTATTTAACATATCATTTAAAACTTGTGTTTCCCTATTTATTTTCATTTTGGATGATCCGTCCATTGGTGAAAGTGGGGTGTTAAAGTCCCCTACTATGAATGTGTTACTGTCGATTTCCCCTTTTATGGCTTTTAGTATTTGCCTTATGTACTGCGGTGCTCCTATGTTGGGTGCATAAATGTTTACAATTGTTATATCTTCTGCTTGGATCAATCCCTTGATCATTATGTAGTGTCCCTCTTTGTCTCTTCTAATAGTCTTTATTTTAAAGTCTATTTTGTCTGATATGAGAATTGCTACTCCAGCTTTCTTTTGTTTTGCATTTTCATGGAATATCTTTTTCCATTCCCTTACTTTCAGTCTGTTTGTGTCTCTAGGTCTGAAGTGGGTCTCTTGTAGACAGCATATATATGGGTCTTATTTTTGTATCCATTCAGCCTGTCTGTGTCTTTTGGTGGGAGCATTTAATCCATTTTCATTTAAGGTAATTATCGATATGTATGTTCCTATTCCCATTTTCTTAATTGTTTTGGGTTTGTTATTATAGGTCTTTTCCTTCTCTTGTGTTTCTTGCCTAGAGAAGATCCTTTAGCATTTGTTGTAAAGCTGGTTTGGTGGTGCTGAACTCTCTCAGCTTTTGCTTGTCTGTGAAGGTTTTAATTCTCCATCAAATCTGAATGAAATCCTTGCTGGGCAAAGTAATCTTGGTTGCAGGTTTTTCTCCTTCATCACTTTAAATATGTCCTGCCAGTGCCTTCTTGCTTGCAGAGTTTCTGCTGAAAGATCAGCTGCTAACCTTATGGGGATTCCCTTGTTTGTTATTTGTTGTTTTTCCCTTGCTGCTTTTAATATGTTTTCTTTGTATTTAATTTTTGATAGTTTGATTAATATGTGTCTTGGCATATTTCTCCTTGGATTTATCCTGTATGGGACTCTCTGGGCTTGATTAACTATATCCTTTACCATATTAGGGAAATTTTCAACTATAATCTCTTCAAATATTTTCTCAGTCCCTTTCTTTTTCTCTTCTTCTTCTGGAACCCCTATAATTCGAATGTTGGTGCGTTTGATGTTGTCCCAGAGGTCTCTGAGACTGTCCTCAGTTCTTTTCATTCTTTTCTCTTTATTCTGCTCTGCAGTAGTTATTTCCACTATTTTATCTTCCAGGTCACTTATCCGTTCTTCTGCCTCAGTTATTCTGCTATTGATCCCATCTAGAGTATTTTTCATTTCATTTATTGTGTTGTTCATCATTGTTTGTTTCATCTAGTTCTTCTAGGTCCTTGTTAAATGTTTCTTGCATTTTGTCTATTCTATTTCCAAGATTTTGGATCATCTTTACTATCATTATTCTGAATTCTTTTTCAGGTAGACTGCCTATTTCCTCTTCATTTGTTGGGTCTCGTGGGTTTTTATCTTGCTCCTTCGTCTGCTGTGTTTTTCTGTCTTCTCATTTTGCTTATCTTACTGTGTTTGGGGTCTCCTTTTTGCAGGCTGCAGGTTCGTAGTTGCCGTTGTTTTTGGTGTGTGCCCCCAGTGGCTAAAGTCGGTTCAGTGGGTTGTGTAGGCTTCCTGCTGGAGGGGACTAGTGCTTGTGTTCTGGTGGATGAGGCTGCATCTTGTCTTTCTGGTGGGCAGGTCCACGTCTGGTGGTGTGTTTTGGCGTGTCTGTGGACTTATTATGATTTTAGGCAGCCTCTCTGCTAATGGGTGGGGTTGTGTTGCTGTCTTGCTAGTTGTTTGGCATAGGGTGTCCAGCACTGTAGCTTGCTGGTCATTGAGTGAAGCTGGGTGTTGGTGTTGAGATGGAGATCTCTGGGAGATTTTTGCCGTTTGATATTACGTGGAGCTGGGAGGTCCCTTGTGGACCAGTGTCCTGAAGTTGGCTCTCCCACCTCAGAGGCACAGCAGTGACTCCTGGCTGCAGCACCAAGAGTCTTTCATCCACAGGGCTCAGAATAAAAGGGAGACAGAGTAAAAACAAAGGAAGAAAGAGGATAAAAGAAAATAAAATAAAGGTAAAATAAAATAAAGTTATTAAAATAAAAAAATAATTATTAAGAAAAAAAATTTTTTAAATAGTAAAAACAAGAAACGGATGGATAGATCCTTAGGACAAATGGTGAAAGCAAAGCTATACAGACAAAACTCACACAGAATCATACACATACACACTCACAAAAAGAGGAAAAGGGGAAAAAATCATAAATCTTGCTCTCCTTAATTTGGTATGATTCGCTGTCTATTCATGTATTCCACAGATGCAGGTACATCAAGTTGATTGTGGAGCTTTCATCCGCTGCTTCTGAGGCTGCTGGGAGAGATTTCCCTTTCTCTTCTTTGTTCTCACAGCCCCCAGGGGCTCAGCTTTGGATTTGCCCCGCCTCTGCGTGTAGGTCGCCGGAGGGCGTCTGTTCTTCGCTCAGACAGGACGGGGTTAAAGGAGCCGCTGATTCGGGGACTCTGGCTCACTCAGGCCAGGGGAAGGGAGGGGCACGGTGTGTGGGGCGGGCCTGCGGGGGCAGAGGCTGGCATGACGTTGCACCAGCCTGAGGCGTGCCGTGCGTTCTCCCGGGGGAGTTGTCGCTGGATCCCGGGACCCTGGCAGTGGCGGGCTGCACAGGCTCCCCGGAAGTGGGGTGTGTGGATAGTGACCTGTGCTCGCACACAGGCTTCTTGGTGGCGGCAGCAGCAGCCTTAGCGTCTCATGCCTGTTCTGGGGTCCACGCTTTTAGCCGCGGCTCGCACCCGTCTCTGGAGCTCCTTTAAGCAGCGTTCTTAATCCCCTCTCCTCGCGCACCAGGAAACAAAGAGGGAAGAAAAAGTCTCTTGCCTCTTCGGCAGGTCCAGACATTTCCCCGCACTCCCTCCCGGCCAGCCGTGGCGCACTAACCCACTGCAGGCTGTGTTCACGCCGCCAACCCCAGTCCTCTCCCTGTGCTCTGACGGAAGCCCAAGCCTCAGCTCCCAGCCCCGCCCGCCCCGGCGTGTGAGCAGACAAGCCTCTCGGGCTGGTGAGTGCTGGTCAGCACCGATCCTCTGTGCGGGAATCTCTCCACTTTGCCCCGCCCCGCACCCCTGTTGCTGTGCTTTCCTCCGCGTCACCGAAGCTCCCCACCTCCGCCACCCGCAGTATCCGCCAGCGAATGGGCTTCTAGTGTGTGGAAACCTTTCCTCCTTCATGGCTCCCTCCCACTGGTGCAGGTCCCGTCCCTATTCTTTTGTCTCTGTTTTTTCTTTTTTCTTTTGCACTACCCAGGTACGTGGGGAGTTTCTTGCCTTTTGGGAGGTCTGAGGTCTTCTGCCAGTGTTCAGTAGGTGTTCTGTAGGAGTTGTTCTGTATTTCTGGTGTATCTGTGGGGAGGAAGGTGATCTCCACGTCTTACTCTTCCGCCATCTTCCCTCTCTCCTCTCTGAACTTTTTGAAGTGATAGCTTAGGTGATAAAATGAAGGTACAGAAATATAATAAAATTTGTCATAATTGAGAAAATCCTAAACCCTTGATAGGAATTCATATTTATGAAAATATTTATATTTTTAATGTGAGATAGGGTCCTTATGTCCTACTGAACTTGAGACACAATATGTATATATGTGCAGACGTATTTTTTATTATCTCCAATAAATGAGGCAGCTTTCACATTAAAAATATGTGTTTTTTCTCTTTGTTTTTACAAAAAGTCTCAGACCTTATACAGGATGTCTAAAACACAATGCTTTAGAATTAGTTAATGTAGAGCATCCAAGGGAATGATAATTTTTTCCCATCAGCAAGTCTATGTTAACTTTTTTTCTAAACAGCATGTTCACACCCTGGCATGCTGTCACTAAAATTAGCTTTCTAATTCTAATTATTATATCGATTTGATTTAACACATTATGTAGCTCACAGATGATTCACACAGTAGGATTCTTATAAGACACAATAGTAAGGCAATTTCCCTTAAATACAGCTTGCTTTTAGTGCTTGCATGGGAGAGAAGACTCTTTATTACCAGAGTCCTGAGATACATCTTGTATGTTTAACCGTGGCTCTATATATTCTAGTTATGTTTCCTAACTGTATATATACGGCACAACCTCCTTTCATCATGTAAATAGGAAATAAGAGATTTATATGATGTCTCTCTTTTGCTCTCTATTTTCTACTAAACAGAGAACAAATGAAGTCTCTCCAGGAGGCCCTGGAAATTCAGCTTAAAGAGACAACTGAGAAAGCAGAAAAACAGCAGGCTACTGTAAGTGTTTCTTTTCTGTGTCCTTTGCTTTGGGCCTGGAAAATTGTTAACTTTTTTCCCTAAAATCATTATGGAACAAATATACCTGTGACAAATATAAATGAAAGTACAATGAAAAAAACACAATCAACAAGATGACAAAAATACTTAGCAGCAATCATTTCAAAAAAATATTTTCGTTGTATTTGATTCTTAGGGGTCTTCTGATTCCTAATCCTTATTTATGGATGAAAAACTCAGGGCAAGACTGTTGGTGTCGGGCCCCCTATCAGTGGCTCTTGAATTTTGGGGTGTGACCTTGAACTAAGTTAAGCTATACAGATCCCTAAGCCATACCCTACATCCACTGAATAGACATCTCCCAAGGGTGGAGCCACACCATCTGCCTACTTAATCAACTACACAGGTGATTCTGAGACACCCCAAAGTTTAAGAATCAAACCTCTCTCCAAAATTTCTCTCTCAAAATGATGTTCTATTGACCCTCACATTTCAATTCTTATAACTAATATTCACCATGGGCAGGAGAGATGGTGCTCTGGATAGTAGTGCTAAAAACTAGATTACTCCTTCATTCCCCACATGCACTTATGTACCATTTATGGAGATTGAACCTTTTATCTTGTTTGAGGACCTGAATCTATTTCAAAATATAGTATATTAATAAAAAATTTGAGGTATAGTAAGACCAATAGATCAGGAAACAACTACCTTTGGAAAGATAGTTTATTTCTCACAGTTCCCAAGAGGGGGGCATGCCACATGACCGGGGACCATGCAGGCAAGCACCAGATCAGGCACAAGGCAAAGGAAGGTGGGGATACTGTGGACAAGAGCCTTTACTGTGCTTTCTGTGGGAAGGAATGGGCTAGGCAGGGTAAGCAGGCCTAGGATTGGCCCATTTGAATGATTTCAGCAGGCTCTGGGGCACAGGGACTATTTTTCTGGTACCCGGCCCTGGGGTGATTAAGGCAGGGGGACAGTCACCTGAAGTGTGAGAACTCAGTACAAGGGGTGGCTGGAGTTCTAGGCTCTGTATTGGTTAGTGTGTATTTGAAAAGCTTACCACCAGGAAGAGTGGGTGGGGGAGGAGCAGCGATGAGGAAGGCAGGAGGTCAAGATAGGATGACGCAAGCATATTACTGGGTTGTCCATAACAAGGCTAGTCTGCGTATATGTGTAAGGTAGATGTTAAAGCATCAAGTTTACAGAAGCTAGAAACTGGACTAATATAAGGTCTCCATCCAGGTTGATTACCTGGGATCGCAGCGCCTTTAAGAATTGTCATCCTGCCTTTCTTTTGCAAGTCTTCCTTGAATAATCTGGATTAGGGTATAAAGTTTTGCTTCTGAAACTTAGCCCTGTCTGTCATCTGGGGTACCTGCTTCTTGGATACAGTCTTTGTAATAATGGCTGTTGCTTCTTCTGGGTGCAGGATTATTTCTTGTTAATAAATTCACTGTTATCTGTCCAGCCCACCTGTAAGGATGAGCATCTTTATTCTTCTCTGTTATGCCATGGCAACATTCACTGCTAACCTACAAGGTGTCCTAGTGTCTGGCTCTTTGGACAGCAGGTGTTACATAAAAGAACAGACATATTTTTAGCACTATCATGTTGATTCCTCCCCTCAGAATCTGACCCAGCATAAGGAGCAACCCTAATTGCAATCCCATTTCTTTCTTGACCTATCACATTTAATCTCAACTTCTTCATAGCCCAGTCACAAATAATGGCAGTTAGAACAGAATAGAAATATTCACACATACTGTTTTCTCAGATTCTCACAATAAAACTGCACACTACTGTTGTTGTTGTTGTTGTTTTCTGAAAATGAATAACTCTTGCTTGTATTTACACAGCTAGCATTTGGAGAAGCCAAGGCATGAACCTGTGTTTATTCCAATATGTTATGCACACTGTGTCTAACATCCCAAAAGAAGAAAGCTCTAACATTTGAAAGAGCTCAACAAAAGTTAGAAGAGTCAAGTATGGCAAAAGTGAGGACAAAGGATGTATAGTTGGGAAGAAGGAGGAGACAGGACAGGCCGAGTCAGCTTTATCCTCACCTCAGAATCCTTGTAGTGCTTTTCTTAAAGTTCAGCATTGAATCTTGAAGGAGGATTTTCCTCTCCCACCCCAAAATACTCTACTAAACCAGGAACACCCTATATGTATTCATAACCTAACATGTGCTACAGAATAAGAATATTCTGGGTTTAAATTCCTAGTGGACAATCTACTATCTGTAAATTTGAGTAAGCTCTTTAACTTCTGCAAGTTTCCTTATTTGAAGAATTTGGGGAATAATTAAAATTAAAATAACATACATAATTTCCCTAAAATTACATCTGGCATATAGTAGATAGTAGAATCTAAACTAAATTTGATCTACTCAATAGAAAGAAAAAAATTAAATAAATAAATTATCCAATTGAAAGAAAAATGTAGGCAAAAGAATTACTGTTGGCAAAAGTTTCAATGTATTAGAAATAACAATAATTTAAATGGGTTAATTTTAATAATAATTTTTAAAAGACAGAATAACTGCAATTAAGAAATTAGAACAATATATGCAAATGTGCTAATTTTAACAACTGAGAAGACCACATACTTAAAATAAGCAATACAGGAAAATATATGCAAAACAACATAAAAGAAGTAAATGATTGACAGCAGTATTAATGCTGGCAAATAGAATTTAAAGCACAAATATAATGTAAGAGCATTATATGCTAGCAAAGAAAAATAAATAAATAAAATGAGGTGGTTATAGTTATAACCATCATAAACATAAATGTACTTAACAAATCAGCTTCCATATCCATCAATCTATAAGTGAAGGGAGAAATAGGCAAATACAAAGATCTTAAAAATACAACTGGTAGTAATAAATATTAGATATATATAGAAATCTCTTAAAAAGTGACTATATTCTTTTTAAGCACATGCAGAACATCTATAGAAATTTTATAGAAATATAATATGTATAATACAAAAAGTTATATACGTTCAAAAATATGACTAGCATATATACTATGTTATTCAATCCATTTGTTATAAAATTAATTTTTATAAATGGTTAAACAATTCTTTATGTTTGGAAAATATATAACACATTTTCTAATAACCCTTCGGTTAATAAGAAATAATAAAAGAAATAAAGAAATACTTAATAATAGTGAAGACACTACATGCCAATATAATAATTGAGGTAAATTGATAGCTTTAAATGCATTTTTCCAGAAAAATAAAAGATTAGCAACATCAATTCAAGAAGTTATTTAAAAAGCAAAACATCAGTGCAATAAAGAGAGTATTATAAAGACTAGTGAAGACAATAATAAAATAGGAAACAAAAAAAGGTAAATTTAAGTTATTTGAAAAGACTATGATAAAAGACTTTAAGATATGAGAAAGATTAAGAATAGAAAGACAGACTCAAATTTTAAAATGTTTAATTAAAAAAAGAGCTAAGGGCTTCCCTCGTGGCACAGTGGTTGGGAGTCCACCTGCCAATGCAGGGGACACGGGTTCGTGCCCCGGTCCAGGAAGATCCCACATGCCGCGGAGCGGCTGGACCCGTGAGCCATGGCTGCTGAGCCTGCGCGTCCGGAGCCTGTGCTCGGCAACGGGAGAGGCCACAGCAGTGAGAGTCCCGCGTACCGCAAAAAAAAAAAAAAAGAAGAAGAAGAGCTAAGAGTCATAATTGTAATAGGAATTCAAACAAATAATGTATTATGAGCAGCAGTTCCCTGATACATTTAAAAATGTGCATGTAAATTTCTAGATAAATAAATATAAAATGCTAAAACTTCTGCAAGAAGAAATTCAACACTTGAATAGCTGAACACAGTTGGCATTTTATTATTGCTAAAAGACCCCTTTCCCAAGTATTTCAAAGCCAGAAGGTTTTCATGGTGACTTCTACTAATTTTTAAAGATCAGTTGACTTCAAATATAGGCAAATATTTTCTGGAAAATAGAAAACATTTGAAAACTTTCATCTCATTTTACAAACTTCATCAGTTACGATTCCAAAATAAACTAATGGCTATATGTGTAAACTAATAGCTATTTTTATACTAACGAATGTACATGTAAAAGGTCTATAAGAACAAATTCAAGACTATATTAGCAAAATATATCATCATGATCAATAAATGCAAATATCTGCAGAAATAAATAATACTTATCTTTTGGAGGGAATGTGTTTATGTTTTGAGTTGAATGACTGATATTTTCTAAGTCAAAGTCCAGAAAGAGATGACAGAAAGCTTAACAAATATGGGAATAACATATATTTAGTAAAAGCATGATTTTTTTTTAATGTGCATCTGGTGGAATCTAGGAAAAGATAGATTTCATACTACTGGGACTCATCGCTTCCAAACTTTGGTAAAGACTCAAACTGTTTGTGCTTTTTTTCTCCCTATTTGAGGATTCTAGGTTAACTAAGGATTAAATAAGTATATATTTTAATTGTTGCAAATCATTCAACAATTATTCTTTCTGCTAGGAAGACTATAGTTGATGTAGCTGAAAGTTGGATAGGAAGGGGAGAATGAAATAATTGTAATTGCTCACTCTCAAATAGAGGGAAAACATTTGGATTTGATTCTGTAAATATTGTGCTATTTTAGATTTAAGAGCAGATACTCTTATGTGCTGCCCTTGATTATATATCTAATTACTAAATTGAACTATCTCCCTAATGGGAAAATGAGCATGACTCAAATTTTCAGGTTGCTCCAAGGATCTTCATAATTCAAATATAAGCTTGAAAATTGTTATGACCAAAATGAGGGACTTAGTGGTTCTCAGGCTTCTGCTTCTATTTCACATGTAGTTGGACCATCAAAAATTGTTTGGTTTAGGTTTTGTTACCTTTTGAGGAAATGGTAATACAAGGACACCTACACAAGCCAGAAAAGACAAGGTGTTAATACGTGTTGTAAAGCTTTACAGACGCACAACAAATATAATGTACAGAAAGTGAACAAGACTACTACACATCAAATCCAGGATAGTGGTTACCTCTGGGGGGAGGGGAGGAAGAAAAATTAGGTGGGGCTTTAATAGTACTATAACATTTTCTTTACAAGGTCTGAAGAAAATTGGACAAAGCATTTATATATATTTATTCTTAGGGTGGGCCCAGAAGCATTTTACATAGTATTACTCTTGTTCTTTCGTTTATGTTTGAAAGGTTTCAGAACTATTTTTTTAATGTGTATATATTATATACGGTAAAAGTTACCTTTACTCCTAAATTTGATTTCCACTGACTTAATCTATCTCTAGAGATAATCCACATTACCAGTCTCTTTTGCATCATTCCAGGAATCCTCTAAGACTATGTTATTCAATATATAACCACCAGATACATGAGGCTTGAGATATGCTGTACATGTATAACACACAGTGGATTCTAAAGATATATTGCAAAAAAAAAGTCAATTTATCATCATTAATCCATTACATGTCAAATGATACTATTTTGAATATATTGAATTAAATAAAATGTATCAGTAAAATTAATTTTACCTGTTCCTTTTACTTTTAAAAAAAATGTGACTGGCAGAAAATTGAAAATTGGAGAAATTAAATGTTTCATCCACTGTCATTCATTCACATAAATAGTGAACCCTCAGGGACCATAGAGTCTCATATTTTAGCTACTGTGCTATACTGACCTTTTTCAAAGCAGTCAGGCAGATAAAGATGCAATGTTTATACAGATACAGTTTGAATAACTGGACTAAGGGCACAGATTCTGACACTATCATATTCAGCAGG